TATAAGAACCTATCTCAAAGCTCAAATGCAAATTATGGGTTGGTGAGATTGAAAAACTATCGTAATAAGGTACAAAGCTTAGATACCCAAAAACACATCAAGTTCATTATTTGATAACATTTGCATTTTAGATCTTGAAGCTTGGATGGATTATAACAATACAATAATCAAAATATATGAGTATATGTAATATAATGTAAAATACAAAATGCTGCCCCCTTTCATATCAAGATTTTTTTTTCCCTTCTCCCAAGGAATGAATTAATGCAGGTCACGGTACAGATGACAAGAAAATGAAAATCAGTGTTCATAAGCATGGAATCCAAAGCACGACTCCTTAGTTTAAGACAACCAGAAGTAAATGGATCCTGACAAGTTATAGAATACAAGTTAGACAGAATGTAGCCGAGAAGTTCCATGAACAATTAAGAATATGCTATGTATCACTCAAACTCAACTGCTATAAGAAATATACTGAACTAAATAGTAGTCTTACTCGGTCCTCCATTTCGAAACTAACCCGCTTTCAGATGGAGCGACGGGAACAACTCTCGGGCAAAGAACTCGAATCTATCGGCGTTCTCCCCTCGCCATCAGAAATGAAGTTTGGCTCTTGCTGGGTAGAGAAGAGGTAGTGAAGCCAGACCGAGAACGACACTGTTTGAGTTAGACGCGATGAGGAAGAAGAAAGCGGGACATACATTAATGGAGAGAGATGGATGAGTGTGAGGATCGGGGGTAGAAAATAAGTGACAGGTGTCCCATATGCAGAGCAACACATGTTAGAAACCGACATTTTGAAGGATTGTGAGGCTGCCAAAAGAGTGGGGTTGCATTTTATTAACCCGTTATACTATGCTGCTTTTTTCTTTTGTGACTTGAAGGGATGGCTAAAGTGGAACGTCAGGAATAACCCAGCAAATAGAAGATTTTCCGGATGGTCGTGGAGCCGAATCTTTGGAACAATTTGCTGGGCGATTTGGAAAAATAGATGCAAGAAAGCCTTTGGTGAGGAAGCTGCGAAACCAAGGGACCTGACCTTCATGATTCTAAATCACATAATGGAGGAAGTACAACATGAAAGATTTCATCATCAGATATACCAGATACCACGGAGCAGTATCACACAACGCGAGCCCCACCCCCTGACTATGTCAGAGTAGATGTGGATGGATCCAGATCAAGAGAAAGGACAGCAACTTGCGGTGGTTTTATTAGTGACTCTCTCGGTCATCGGAAGGGAGGGTTTCGGCAGAAATTGGGTGTTATGTCCTCAACTGCTGCGGGATTACATGCCATTCTGACAAGACTAAAGCTCTGCAAACAGTTGGGATATAGTGATGCTCTTCATCTATTGTTGACGGACTGTGACCCCTCGCACCCTTGGAAGGAGACAGTACAGGACTTGAGACAACTGATCTTTGATAATTGGGACACTGAGATATCGCACGCCTTCAGAGAAAACCAGGGATGCGCTGATAGACTAGCCAGGATGGCTCATTTTATAGAACATGACTGTATTTTCTTACAGGATATCCCAAACCATTGCGTAGGATGGTATATTTCGGGACAGGGTCAAGTAACCCAGTAACATTTGTCGTTTTGTATTGGGTAGGGAATTACTTTTTTTCAGTGATTATATATTTTTGCGCCTTTTAAAATTGATGCAAAATTTTGTTGTTAAAATTACATCTTGATCTTATAACTTAAATTAAGTATATAAATTATTTATAAAATTACTTATTTGACCTTAACTTCAAGTCTCATATCTCATCATTCTCACACAAATTGAACCCTTTCAATTACCAATTGTTTGCCTCCATACCTCTTCTCTTTGGCTGTCAAGATGGCAATGCTAATTCATTCCCTATTTCTTAATTTGCACTGTTTACTGGAGCATAATAAGGTCCTATTGGTCATCATGATTGAAATAATTTATAAGCACATTTTATGTAAACTGAGATAAAACTCCTTTCACATATTTACCTTGTATTTTGTTAATCACGATTGAAAAATTATTTATAAACTGTTCTAGACGGATCCTAAAGTATTAGACAAAATGAATTATTAGAATCCCGATAGGAAGTGTTTGTCCTGATTTATATGGGAAAAGGCGAAATCTAAGGGTCCGTTTGGATCAGCGATTGGAAAAAGCAGCTTATAGAAAAAGTAGCTTATGGAAAAGTAAAGCTGGTAAAAGTTAAATTGGATAAGCTGAATTGTGTTTGGATTGGAGTTCAGACAAGTTAGTTTACAAAAATGAGATTGGAAAAAGTTTGTTTGGATTATAGTTGAGTAAAAGTAACTTTGGCTGAAAAATTACCAAAATGGGCATGAGTTTTAATAGATAATGAAACATGATTAAAAAAATAATTTCGCATAATACAATGAAATTAAAATAATTTAATATGAAGAAATCACAAAAAATATTTTAAATATAAAGTGAAACATGAAAAAATAAAAGTATATTTTTAGGAGCATATTTAAAAATAAAAATATATTTCTAACTTATTCATTACTTTCAACTAATGTTAATTGATTTTTTATTATCTACAAATTAGTTATTTGAGGCTTATAATAAGAACCAAAAGAAGTAATAAATTTCTTAACTTTTTCTTTCTCCATATTTCAAAAGCCATAAGCCATAAGCTATAAGTCATAAGCTGTTAATTTTAGCTTATATCTTATTGTAGCTTTTCAGACAAAAGCCCGATTGCAAAAAAGCTGATCCAAATAGACTTTACTTTTGTCAATCGAGCTTATAGAGCTTATAAGCTACTTATAAGCTCCAAATAAGTGTTGCCAAACAGGCACTAAGTTGACATAGAGCTTGTTATATTTGAGTTGGTTTTTTTTTAAAAAAAAAAATCTCCTGAGTAAACAAGTGATTAAGTTTTCTTATTTTTACGTACTCAAACGACTATTGTTACTGTGCATTTTTTCTTTCTCTTATTAATATCTTATAGTACGTGGGATAATGCATCCTAGGTTTTTAAGGCATAATGTAGATTTTTAAACATGCTTGAATGGTTACATGTGAATTTGGAGATGAAGGCTTTTAAGCTTGTTTTAGATATTTATATTTTACGTGGGTCTTTAAAAAGTTTATAAGCTTTGTCTGGCATTTTGAAAGTTGGTGCTTAAGTATAAACAAAAGTTTTAATACTGACTCAGACTTTAGATGTATGTTACACGCTCATACTTGTTTAACTAAAACTTAGCCCAAGTTATTTTCACCTCTGGTGCGAAAAGTGGCTGCCTTTTTCTCCCGCCGTAAAAACCCATTAACAATACCCATGATATACTTATATAGTTTGACCAGCATGTTTGGTTGTTGCCGTATGTGCATTTAACTTGACCTGATAGAGTCGGAAACACATTAAATAGAGCCTGGTTTTTTTTAAAAAAAAAAGAAAAAAAGAAAAAAGAGAGAGGTACACAAATAAACTTACCCATGCACTTCTTGTTTTTAAAAAATCTGAATCAATATAGTCATTCAGTCCTAAATATAAAACTTTTATACACTTTAATATAAAGGTCTTATATTTTGAATCGGAAGAATACATCTATTTCTTTTACCTAAACCTCCTCATGTGTGAGTGCTCATTCCACAAGGCATAGCTGTTTTATAAAGCACTTCTGATTCAAAATATAAGTTAAACCTTATATATTTATGTTTATAAAAAAATTAGTTAAAATCAATTTAAAACAGTAAATACATAAGGCATATATATTTTTTCTAAATATATCCTTATTAATGAAGATAATAAATATATATAAAAAATAAACGAATCAAAAAGCAAAGAGAATATATGTGGATAAAATTGAAAAAAAAAAGACTCATCGAGTATTTATACAAAAATAAATGTTATCTTATAAAAAAATCAAACCCCTTCAACAAAGTTTAGCTTATATTTTAAACAGGAGGGAGTACTACCTTCCACATTGTTAAAATTTAGTGGGGTCTCGATTCTAACCTTTATACTTTGAGGTCTTATGTTACACAATCTGCTAAAAAAAATTTCTTAAACTTGCGTAGATAGCTGCTTGCCATGAATTAATATGTTATTTTACCAATGAAGCATAATAAGCTAATTATCATCCTTTCAAAAAAGTGAAAGAAATTATTGCTTATAGTACTTAATATAAAAACTAATTTGACATTTAATTTGATCTTAAATATAAGATTCAAATTCATATTGTTTCTCATATTTATCTTTTTTTTTAAGATAGTCCTTATAGTAGTTATACATGCTAAAAATCTTATCAAATGGTAATTCTAGCTAATACACATAATTAACAAAAGTGTTTTAAGAAAAGCAACACTTTTTTATTACAAATAACTAACTTGACTAATTTTTTCAATCTATTCAAATTATTTAACTATTTATTATATTAAAAATCGGAGGTAGTATATTTTACCTAACAAAAAATTACTATTTCTGGTTCTTAATATAAAAGCCAAACAATTAATCATAAATATTAAAAAAATTAGTTAAGTTAATCATTTATAATAAATAGATGTTGTCCTATGATATTAATAATGTACATTAAAACTACCTTTTGATGAAGATTTCTTAACACATGCAATTAACATGAAGATTAATTAGGGACAAAATAGATAAAAATAAAAAATAAAATGAATTGAGATTTTATATTTAAAATTAAATTAAATTTTTAAATAGTTTTTATACTAGCGGCGGCAGGAGGAAATGTATCAAAACAAACGCACCCTATGTAAAGAATAGCTCATCTGAAAAACCAAGCAGCACGCAAGATGAACGGAGGCTTGTAGAGTTGAATAAAGGGACCTCGCTGAAATGCTGAATGCGAGGATCCAATAGCTTTTTTTTATTGCAAAAAAAAGTACGTTATGTACTATCTGACTATTTGTACATGAGACGGGGACCCATTCGATTTCGAGCGCTACGTGGCGCCCTATAAAGCGGCGTATGAGTTGAGCCAGTCATCTTCATTCTTTGTCGCTTTTCTCATCCATCAGCCAGTGCTTCTCTCTCACTCTCACACTCAGAACGTCCCACGAAAATCTCGATACCACTGCGAATATTCCCCCTCCTTCGGTTTCGCTCTCCTCTTCCGACTTGTTAACCAGCTCCTGGATGGCCATGCATTCCGTCGCTGTTCTTCCCCAATCTCCTATCTCCATTTCTCACCGCTTAACATCCTCCTCCTCCTCCTCTTCCCCTGTCAGGAATTTAATTCCCTGCAATGCAAAGGGCATTCTCCAATCGTCTCTGTGGCAACATTCCCAGAGCCGCCGCAAGCGAAGCCTTGTTCTGAATTCGGCTGCGGACCAAGTCTCTGTCGCTGACACTCCTTCGCCTCCTTCACGGTCTCCGGGAAACGGAGGCCCGCCGGCAGATCTTATCGCTTCTCTGAAGCTCAATTTACTGGTGGGTTTCTTTCCTCCATTATAAAACTCGTGTATCTTCGATCGACCCCAGATTCCCTTTTTCTCTTCCATTCGCATCTTCCAATACTGTTTAGTTGTAATTGAGAATATTTTTGTAAACGATTCAATATAGTATTAGCTTGTCCGCTAGGTTGCGGAAATGCCCCTTTCTTGATCTTGGGGTTCTCGCCTTTGTTTTACTTTGTCCTCCTTTGAGTTGAATAATGTTATTAAACTGAGCCCGCTGGAGAATCTGAAATATTTTGAAATTTGCTTTCTCTTGATCGAGCAGTTTGGAAGCTACAGACTTGGAATTGGGGCATTTTTTTTTATTAAATTAGGAGCTCTGCTATCCAGCTGACATGGCTGCTACTTTGCACTGATATCTTGTTTCACTGAAAGCTGTAGTCCTTATGCATGCTGATTGTATAGTAATAAACTGATGAATCTCATGTGCAACTGAAGCCAGTGTGACGCTGAACTGAGTTTGGAGACGACAAATTATAATGTATTTTACTTCCACTCTTTAATTTGATGTGTTTCAGGTTCCTGCAATGGCAACATGCCAAAATGAGAACAAACATTGTCAGTTTTTTTTATTAGGATGCTGATAAAACTCGATGGATTATATAGATTTAACTGATATACCCCATTATTCATTGCCTATGGAGCATAATGTTATCTCTGGTTGTAGTTTTGTATACGGTGGATGCTGATGTGTTGACGTTAAAGGAGGATTTCTGTTATCTATCATGATGGTTTTCTGGTTCCATTGCATCCTTTCCCCCCTTGGGCCATCCATATTCTGTATGCATATGAGCTGAATTTTTCCCGATACATCCCATGCTGGTAGTGTTGGGGTCCAACAGGTGTCCAACTTATCTAAGGCCGTTAGTGGTCCGAATGCAGTAAAATATGTTGCTCATACAGCAGAGGTCCTGCATAAATTCCTAATGCCTGGGCACTCGTAAACATGATGCTCTACTCAAAACTCTGACTTTTATCATTATTCCTTTTTATGTATTTGTACCAAGACTTGTCTTTATTAATGCAGAGTGCTATTTCTGGGCTAAATAGAGGTCTTGCTGCTAATGAAGATGATCTACGAAAGGCAGATGCTGCAGCTAAGGATCTTGAAAGTGTTGGAGGACTGGTAGATCTGACAGTTGACCTGGATAAATTGCAAGGGAGGTGGAAACTGATTTATAGCAGTGCCTTCTCATCTCGTACACTAGGTGGGAGCCGTCCTGGCCCTCCAACTGGAAGGCTTCTTCCTATAACTCTTGGTCAGGTACCTTAACATAAATGTTACTATGGTAATTCATTTTTGCTCTGTGACGTGTTCCCTTAATTATAATACTGTTAGAGCTTTACGTGACTGAGTTTCTATTATATTTTTTTCAAAATTCTGATGGCTACTGAGCCATATTCTTCTGGATGACATGTATCAATTTGCGCATACAGCTGAGTCTGAGAAACTGATATTGCTTGCTTGTTTGATTTTGCTTCTGGCTCTACAATTTCTCATCAATGGTTAAGTCTACCGAGCGTATATTTTGCTTTGCTGACAGGTTTTTCAACGAATTGATATCCTGAGCAAGGATTTTGATAATATAGTGGAGCTTCAACTGGGTGCTCCATGGCCCCTTCCACCTGTCGAAGTAACAGCCACATTAGCTCATAAATTTGAACTCATAGGTTGGTTTATTATCGTTTTGTGTCTTCATCGGTTATAATCTATGCCTATCTTTTTCTATAATATTTTGTACGACTGCTATTTGCCAGAAATGACTATCTTTCAATCTCAGATACTATCTGATTCTGCTGTGGGTGTTTCTTATAACTGCAGGATCTTCAAAGATAAAAATAAATTTTGAAAAAACTACTGTGAAGGCAACTGGGAACCTGTCGCAATTGCCACCATTTGAGATACCTCGAATTCCAGATCAATTTAGGCCTCCATCTAACACTGGAAGTGGTGAATTTGAAGTGACGTATCTTGATTCAGATACCCGCGTTACTAGAGGAGATGGAGGTGAGCTAAGGGTCTTTGTGATCTCATGATTTCCTGGAATGTACACCGGGCCTGCTAAACTTGGGGAACCTTTTACTCTTTAATATTGACGATGTTAATCATTTGATCGATTTTTCGTATTCTTGCTTTCGATTCTTACATTTTGTAAAATAGACATACTTGTATACTAAATCCGAGTAAAATGTATCTTCAAGGATGTTATGTTCTGTTTAAATGTAAGATTATCAGCTTCAAGGGAACGCCACTTTATTGCCCCGAGACCTGGAAATTTTTAGTTTATGGTCAACTCTTTTGTCTGCATTAACACCCCACCAGCCCACACACTAGCGCCCACTAGTAACACTCCCATTTTGTTGCCAAAAGCTATATTATTATTCTGAGATGATTTTTAACACTGAATTTCAGAAACCATGTGAACCGTATGCTGTAATTGAGAATGGGTGGAGAAATTATGTAATATTGCAGGATGATAATAAAGTTGCTAAGACTATTGCAACTGCGATTTCTTGGAGTCCCCCAATTGCCGGATAGATAAAGGTTAATGTGGACGGTGCCATGACTGCAAATTTGAGAAAAACTGGGTGTGGCGGAGTCCTAAGAGATAGTAATGGTACATGGATAGCAGGATTTTCTCATTTCATTGGTTTTTTGCACTGCTATGGAGGCTGAACAATGGGCTATCTTTAAGGGGCTTAAATTAGCCTGGGATCTTGGTTTCAAGAACGTGATTTTGGAATCTGATTCCAAAATATCAATTGATTTGTTGAAGAAAAAAGGCATCGATACGGAGAGCCTACTTTGTCTCCAAATAAGAGAGTTAATGAAGAATGACTGGGAACTGGAAATACGGAACATCCCAAGGGAGCAGAATCAACTTGCAGATTCGTTGGCAAAAGGAGGCTTATCTAACTCCTCTCTTTTTAATTCGTCTCCTCCTCATTTGAGGACCTTGTTTGAAGCTGAGTGTTTGGGATAGTCCCCATAAGTTTGCTGTTTTAGTTTTTGGGCTTCTGCCCTCTTGTTTACCAAAAAAAAAAAGCTATATTATTATTCGTGCGTCTTGGTCTCCTAGTGATAACATTTCCTTGGAGAATGTTTTTTTGGTAAGAATAGGGGCTCAAAGCCCAAAGCAAACAAAAAATAACAGCAAAAAGGCAGAAAAACTATCCGCCCCTCTCATTAACCATTCCTGTGTGATCCGCAAATTGCAACCAGCGTTGGAGAAGTGTTTTTTGAAGTTATAAAATGCTGACATATGGATTAAATTAACATTGCATATTTCACCAGTTTGTCTAAATTATAGGGAGGCAACAATATAGAAATCCCTAATTTTTTTTAATGGAAATCAAGTTACCTTGGAAACCAGAACCATAAGAAGTTTTGAACCAAGGGGGGGGGGGAAGAACTCACATTGAGGTAATAGTTAATATATTGGTCTTTGATTAAAATTTCATAGAGATAATTACTTAATCAGTTCCTCTAAACTTTGAAAAGTTGACCAAAGATGCTTTATACGTTCAGTTTGGCATAACATTTCTTCATGGTCTAACTGCTGAGATCAAAACTCTAACAGCGATTGCCCACATGAATCGAAAGATTAAGACATGATATTTCAAGTTTTTTGAACGTGTCAAAAAAAGGTTTTTTTTTCGCTGATAGAAAAAGAACATAGTGGTTTTAATAAAATTTTGAGCAAAAATTTTAGAATCTAATCTAAATAATCAATATATCAGTATCATCAACGTTATATTAATATAAAAGTTTATGACTATTCTCGAGATATGATCCATATGGCTTATTTGAAAATTTATGCTATATACAAGAAAAAGGTGTCCAACTTAAAAAAAAAATTAAAAATTAAAACTAGAAAATAGAAAATAATCATGTAACTTGTGAAATATTAGAAGGAATTTTTTTTGGCCAAAAAATATTAGAAGGAATTTAGGACAGTAAAAATGAAGGGAGATCGCCGCTTAATCATAAGGATTCCGTGCGCCATGTTGAAAGAAATGGCCCATGCCTGGGAAGTGAAAGATATAAATAGCGATATAGACGTTAGAGTTGTAACGGCTACATTTTGGTTCAGAACTTCAAAACTCACATCAATTCCACTCCCATTTTCATTATTCATTTCCAGTTTCGTTCGTTTCGTTTCCTTCTTTCCTTCCGTCCAGCTGTTTCTGAAATCTCTCGCCGTCTCGTCGTCCAAGCTGACCTTTTCGCACTCTCTCATTCTTTCCCTCCTGTGGATTATAGATCTAAGGCTAAAGATTCAATCTTTAATTTCGTTTTCTTTCAGTTCAAACGAGATAAAACAACTCCTTTTTCTTTCGGGTAATTCTTCACATTCATGGCTCCTACGCCTTCTTCCAAGCCTAATCACCCAACCCAGTCAAAAACCCCACAATCCAGGCATCGTCTGAATTTCAATGGTGTGAAAGCACACCAAACTCCGAACTCGAACTTGGCTGCCAAGGAGGTCCCTTCAGAGCACCCAGTCGAGGTCATAGCGAGAATTCGTGATCACCCAGATCGCAAAGAGAAGCCTTTACCGGTTTTGCAGATCAATTCGAACACACAATCGATCCGGGTTCGGGCTGATTTTGGGTACAGAGATTTCACCCTTGATGGGGTTTCTGTGTCTGAAGACGAGGACCTCGACGATTTTTACAAGAAGTTTGTGGAATCGAGGATTAAGGCGGTCAAGTTGGGGGAGAAGTGCACTATTATGATGTATGGACCCACGGGTTCTGGAAAGAGTCACACCATGTTCGGATGTTCAAAGCAGGCGGGTATTGTTTATCGGTCTCTAAGGGACATTCTTGGAGATGGAGACGAAGGTTCTGATTCTAAGGGAAGTGAACATCCTTGCCTGGGAAATTTTGTTCAAGTCACTGTTTTGGAGATTTATAACGAGGAGATTTATGATCTCTTGTCCACAAATGGAGGGGGAGGATTTGCAGGACTGGGCTGGCCTAAAGGCAATTCTTCCAAGGTAAAGTATGTTAGGGATTTCAAATCGTACTATCTGTATATTTATCCTCGGATCTTTTATAATAAGGCTCAGATCTTAACTTGGTGGTAGTTACCAACACATATCTTGTTAATGCAACTTAATCACAGGTGAAACTTGAAGTGATGGGAAAAAAGGCAAAGAATGCAACCTATATATCTGGAACTGAAGCAGGAAAGATTTCAAAAGAAATTCAGAAGGTAGAGAAGCGCAGGATTGTTAAAAGCACTCTTTGTAATGAAAGGAGTTCTCGAAGTCACTGCATGGTATGATTGTTTTTCTATAGAAGATTATTGTGCTAAAATTAATCTCCCATTCGCGGAGTTGGTACTGAGATATGTCTCCTTATGTGAACAGATAATCCTCGATGTTCCAACAGTGGGAGGGAGACTAATGCTTGTAGATATGGCAGGATCAGAGAATATTGAGCAAGCTGGTCAAACTGGATTCGAAGCCAAAATGCAGGTAACATCTTTTCCATTTTCATGTTCTTCCTTGTGTGAGTAAGTTTCCTGCTATTGATTATGCTTTCAATGTAAGTATAGACAGCAAAGATCAATCAAGGAAATATAGCACTGAAGAGGGTGGTTGAGTCTATTGCCAATGGCGATTCACATGTTCCCTTCAGAGACAGCAAACTTACTATGCTCCTGCAGGTAAGACTCGATCATGTTTTAAGTTGAATGAATTGCTGGATTCTTGTAAGGATGTTTCAAATTTGACTCACAGGATTGTTTATTATATTTCTTGGTTTTCCCCTTTGAAGGATTCCTTTGAGGATGACAAGTCAAAAATTCTGATGATTCTGTGTGCAAGTCCCGATCCCAAGGAGATCCACAAGACCATCTCCACTCTTGAATATGGAGCAAAAGCAAAATGCATTGTTCGTGGTCCTCTAACCCCGGTTAAGGATGAAGAACCTTCTGCTGTCATCTTGGGGTCCAGAATTGCTGCAATGGACGAATTCATCATGAAGCTGCAAATGGAGAACAAAGCCAGAGAAAAAGAGCGGAACGAGGAGCACAAAAAGCTTATGAAGAAAGAAGAGGAGGTTGCTGCACTGAGGGCTAAGCTTGAGAACATGGAAGGCAAAGAGAATACTCCTAGTGAAGAAGAGATCAACATGAAGGTATTCGAACGAACTCAGCTTCTGAAACAAGAGTTGGAGAAGAAGTTGGAGGAGTGCCAACGGATGGCCAACGAGTTTGTCGAATTGGAAAGGAGGAGAATGGAAGAGAGGATATTACAGCAGCAGGAGGAAGTTGAAATTCTGAGGAAGAGACTAGAAGAAATTGAGCTTCAGCTACGTTGTTCAAGGGATGGAGGAGGCTATAGTGAGGAAAATGAGTCCAACGAAATGGAATCAAGTGGGTTTGCCAGGAGGCTAATGCGTATATATAAGAGTGAGGAGGACCCTGGGATGGTTAAATCCATGGATTTGGACATGGATGATCAAGAACCTCTGGTTTTGTGCAGGGTTGATAACAATACGAGCCAAAACTTCTCTTCAAGCCAACCCTTTAATTCTCTAGATGGGGTGTTAGAATCTGATGTTTTTGCACCAAGATACGGTCTTAGCACAGTATATGAAGATGAAGAAGGAGAAGGAGAGAAGGATCATGAGGAGAGGGTGGAAGATGACGAAGTGGAGAAAGAAATCATAGAGGAGAAGAGGGTATGCTCTGTTCAGAATTTCGAGCTCACGTCAACAAACTTGCCTAGAACAAGTCCGAAACAAGATGATGATCATTGTTTCAAACACAATCAAGAGGAGGACAAGGAGTCGGCTTCATCTAGACTGCTGAGAATTCAGACTATATTTACTCTCTGTGGGAACCAAAGAGAGCTCTCGCAGCATGTGGGAACTCCAATTCCTCCTTCAAAGAAGTCCAGTGATTTCAAGATATCCCCAGTGACCAAGTCAAGCGAGAAGGATTCCTCCATCCTCAAAGTCTCCAACAAGGAAAACATGGAACCACATTATATTGTGGGAAATTAGTAAGCTTTGGACCAAGGAAAAAGCTTGTACAATATAGGATGAATGATGTACGCGTTGTGTAAAGGGAAACATACTAGCGTTTCTTCATGCTCTGTGTGTCATTTTATGGTCTATTTTTTTTGGAATGAATACATGTGCTCTATTCATTCATTCATCCCAATTAATGTCTTCTTGTTGATATACCCTTGCATGATTGAAATGCAGAAGCTACAAAGATGAAACAGAGGAAGTTTTTATCTACTATTATCTAAAAAAAAAGGCCCAAAAATAACCGCTCAGGTGTGAAATTATAGAAGGTCAAGATCAAACAATTCCATCGAATTACAAAGATGAAACAGAGGAAGTTTCTGCGTTTCAATTAAATTAGAAAGTAATTTGAGAACACCCTTGCATATATTCCCTCCTTCTAAATACAAGAGCTAATGAATATTATATGAAAGAATTCAATGGAATGGGAGAAAGAAAATGCAGAATTGAAAAAAGAAGAAGAAATATTAATTAAAAAAAATTCAAAACAGCAAAAATCAGAAGGCAGGCCTCCAAGTGGAGGACTGCGTCCAAACTTAAAATTAACTAATTTACAAATTACAAATTTTCTTCCCTCCTCCCCTCCTTCTCAGTCTTTTCCTCTCTAGATTCTCATTACAATTCAATCTGTGTCACTAAACCTGAAAGATTTATCCGAATCAATTCTCAATCCTCACTCGCTGTTTTTCCGCTCGTGCCCGTTTTCACTCGCTGCATCGAGATCCGGTAAAGAGATGTCAGACATGGAATCACCTTTCGACGATCTTCTCGATGACCGCTCTGGCCTCTCCGTGTCGTCAATGGATGTCGTCTTCGCCTTCCGACGACGCCCCGGTTTCGATGCCGCCTGCGAATCCGATCCTGGATTCGAGCTCCGGCCTTTTCTCGATTGTCGGGTGCCGGAGGACGGGGAATCGCGAGCCGAACACTCCGATGTAGGGTCCGATGATCGGTGGCGTCGCACATGCTTTGATCCGTCTGAGCTCCCTCGGGTTGGGGAATCCGTGTTATTGCTTTCCAAGGAACCGTGTCTTGATTTTGGAATATGTTTTGCTTTACGTTTTGAATCCTTTGAAGTCTTACCATCTGCAAGGCACATCCATATGATCAATAGTGATGAATATGAACCTGAACAATTCGTAACCATGAACTTATTCTTCAATTCTATAGGCATGTATATATTATTAATTATATGTGAAGTACGAGATCAAATGTGCACGCAAACCTCCTTGAGTTTCGACAGAGTCGACCGGTGCTTCTACCGGCGCCGATGCCGGTTGTGAGACCTCTGATGCGGTTTTAAATTCATTCATCTGCACAATTTTAGAATGCAAATAAAAGCTTAGTGCTTACTAACATAACATTAATAGATGGGCAATTAAAATTAAGCTTTGCCATATATTAGCTTGGCCTAACATTTAATTTTGAGATTTGAGATAGGACAAGCCTCCTTTCCGGGAAGAATTACAGAGGACGAAAATGAAAAATGAAGAAGAGAAAGTTCAATGAAGTACCCATGTTGGGGTGTTTGCTGACGGACCATCCATTCCGATGTGTGCCACATGCTTTACGTCTGTTGGGAACCCGATTTGTATTTCATCTTCTTCTTTCTCATCTGCAACATTCCCTTCAATTTTTTAATAAATCTCCATAAGCAAAAACCTGATTAACGTCAAATAAATCTATTCCGCGCGATAGCACTTTACTAACATAGAACATTAATGGGACTCACCAAATATTTGTGAAATGTATCTGAGACCTCTGAACAGTCCTTTCACCTTGGTCGACATTTCCCGCCGCAGAAACCTTGCACCTTAAACTCTGATGGTGTTGGGGCTAAGGTTTGAAGATGGACGTCCACATTTCGAGATGAAACAGATTGATGCAGTGGACAGAGAGACAAGAGAATGTCACCTAATCGGAGCGGCTATATGGAAAACAAAGATTTCTCAATACCTGAAGCTAAACAGACGTACGTTATTAGCCAGACAATGTCAGACAGGGATCAAAAGGGAAGAAGGGGAAGAAAGGAAACCAAAAGGAAAAACGAGATGAGACTTTTGGTTACTAAACCCAGAAGGATGGAAAATCCGGTGAGCACTGGTTTTGATCGCCGGCCGGTGAGTACAAAACCAGTGCCTTGCCGGAATTTTTTTCGGTGAAAATGCAGAGAGCTTGTGTTAAATCCTCATGAGTTCTGGTTATATTTAGTGAGACCTCCGACATAAACGCTTCACAAAGGATAACTGTGCGGCTTTGGTGAACTCTACAAATTATTGTGTTGTTATTGTTACAATGGAAAAAATTATCGTCCATGGATCGGCAGAAGCTAAAGGATTTTTTTATATCAGATTCGTTTTTTAAAATTATTATTGTCAGATTTGCTTTTGATTTTTTTTTTTTTAACATCTTAAAATTATTATCTCGTGTATGTTGAAACAATTCCTTTGACTAGAAATATAAGCCATTTTGCACTGATTTTTTTATAAGGTCATTATGACTTTTGATTACTTGGTCGATATTATCATTTATCCTTTATATGAATAGACGTGAAACTTTTTTTTCTCCCTTGAATTAAGACGTTATTTAAAAATAAATAATGTAATTCATTAACTGGGTTTATGCTGTTAGGCTTAAAATTAACTATAGAATTTTTATAGCTTCATTACTTTGTTATTCTTTGACATTGTAATTTCACAATATAGCATCAACATGTGAACCTGTGCAGAGTCAATTTGATGAATTTTTTTTGATAAAAAAACATTTAGAAAATATTTGCTCATGTGTAAAACATGATCTTACACAAAGAAGTCCACTGAATTATTGCTTATGCACTCCAGTTAACAACTCATCCTCATAAACCCTAGATAAGCTTTCCATAAAAACTTCTAAAAATATAGTAAGCAAATCAGGTTTTTGTATTCTGAAGCCACTACAATACTAGTAGGCCAACACAATAACATAAGATATTTATAGTAACTAACAGTACGGGAATTAATTCACAGATTATTTGTCATTAATATTTGCTATTTTGGATGTCACAGGTGAAACTGGAGACTTTTGATCACATTTCTTAATTTAGGAAGCCTTCATCTCATCTAAGCCACAGCGAGCCTGTGCCACAAGAGTTACTTTAGTCAGCCCAAGGTCACAATACAAACATTTCAATAGGTAAGAATACCATTTGGACTCCTACAAGCAATCAAAATTTACTTTTGGGGTTTTAAACCTTTAGCCTAATGTAACTTAACGGCTCAGATAGGTTTTTGTACACTTGTACGGTTATGTTTTGCCCAAGTTTCTCACTTCGTTCATTGTACCCTTTTGGCTTCCTGTTGGCCTGAATGAGTTTTCCCATTTTTGTCAAAAAAGAGAGGAAATAAAAATGTGAGTTTGGGATTGAACCAAATGGAGTAGGCTGATATTGCCCCGTGTCTATTTGGCCTTTAACAAAAAGAAATTCTGTTACAAACTATGCATTAGAACCAAATGAGAGATGCATGATATTGAGTAGCACCCCCTAGGAAAAAAATTATTTTTGAGATCAATAAGCACTCTGTGTAGGTCAATCTGAAAATCTAATCTAAATTTCACGGATGAATAATAGGTCAAATTAGGAGTGAAATTATCTTTGAATTCTCTTTAGTGATATAGATTTTACAGGTGGAATCAAACTTACACCAAAACCTGATGAAACATCTATATCAATGGTTTCTTTTTTAAAAAACAAAAAATACCAAGTGAATGACCATTAATAAGCACTAAAGTGATCCAAGCAATCTTACCAGAAACTTGTGATTCTCTTCAAGGAAAGGAGAAAATTCTGAACAAAATTTCTCCATGTCAGCATTGATATTACCAGAGCCTCCTACGACATCCATGAACTTTTTCCTATCAGGAGCAAGCTTCATAGCAACCTGTAGTTTAAGATTTTAATAAGCCACAAATTCCCATCATATACTGGATCCTCCCCCACCCTCTCCTTATCACAGACAAGAGACAAAAGAGAGGAAAATAAAAAAGAGAGAAAAAAGAAAAATATAAAAGCTCATAAAATAAATGAGGATAAACAATTTAATAGTGAAGTGTTAAATGATTTTCCTAGTGTTTAAACTATGAACCATGAAGCATTCATAGAACACAAAGTAGAAGATTATAGAGCATTGATAAGGTAGCAGATATTCCAAAATCTTTTAGTGGACATTCACTTTGATGAATAAGTTCTATTTCTCAGAGAGAAAAAAATTATCAAGAAAGGATCAAAGAACATTACAGTGAAGCTTGAACTAGCAAGCCAACCATGCCACTTTTTTAAGGTTTTGTTATAGGAATCTGTACAGGCTTGTGACATAGACCAATCTGCATGCTCAATTAAGTTTTGGAATAATGCCACCAAGAAATCCATTGCCCTGAAGAATATAAAGCTAGAAGTTATAAGCATAATCTTTCAAATTACACGGGAAAAAGAAAATATTTAACTTATCCAGATAGAAGACAGAATACAAGTATTGCTAATTATAAGGATAATGACTAAAGGCAAAGTATTGATGGTGTTCTCTACCTTGTTAACCAAAGAAGTCCATTGGCGCAACTGGATGCTGACTTTGCAGTTTTAGTTTCAACCTCTATTTGCACCAAACTATATAGGTAGTTGAATTTCACTGGATTGGAATTATACATAGATTCCAATCTCTGCCGTAATAATCAACATTGCAGCAAGTGAGAACATGATAGAACATCTCAACCCAACATTATTAATGCCTATGGTTTGCATACTTAACAACAATGACAAAAGTTAAAGACTAAAACATATATAGGCAAGATAGAACATGACATAAACAGGACTCAAGCATAAACACAAACATATTGAGATATGGTATTACTATATGTATCATCTTAAGAAAAACATATGATATCTTAAATTGCAATAAGCAAATGATTATTCAAAGACATAACATACCGATATGTTTCCACCTATGTCAGATTTAACAAGGGCCATTGCAGCTCCAAATTTATCTGCCAAAAAACAAAGCATCATTTCTAATCAAGGTACATGCATCAATAGCATACAATCAAAATCTATCCCACCATACACGTTATTATTATAAAATAAATTAGTATTCAAATTACTTAAGAGATATAAATAACTTTGGTTAACCAATAAACATTGCAAAAGCCAACCATACAGTTTCTACAATACAATCAAGTAATTTTGCATCAAAAGAAGTTGTGAATGCCAGCAAAAGAAACTAACAGAAAGAAAGCTTAGAACTAGAAGATTTAAAATTCTTTTGCAACTCAAAATCTTATGAAATAAATTATAAATTTTAAAAGCACAACAATTCTGTAGGACAGAATCATTGTCACTGTAAATCATTTGACTCAAGTTACTTAAAGCACACATCTTTTTAAATAAAAAAAGAAAAGGAACAAGAAAGGATGCAACAATAGTTTATTTCAATTCAAACATAAATGCAAATCAAATTGATTGACTGACATACTGCATTTTCTTTAGCAGTAGCATTGGATGATGCCTTAGAAGAACAAAACAGCAGAAAACAGAGATAAAATATTACAAACTCGGGAAATTGTTCGCATGTCCTAGCACGCAACAAGGATAAAAATACACCATTTTCCATTTTTTTCCTGCCCTTATCCAGTCACCAGGTTAGGAGGGAAGGGCCTGTACCTATAACGGGCAATATCTGCTTGCACACATCTAAGAAAGGCATGGTCAATATTTCTCCTTGCTCAGACTTTACATGCTGTATTTTCTCTAGTGCAGGAGTGAAGACGGTGCCCTCCATTTTTGTGCTTTACTGCATATAACACGGTCATTAAAAATAAGTGGATTAGTAACAGAGCAAAAGTCTAAATTTCAGCCTTCAAAATTAGAGAGAAAATCGTCTAAACGGTTCAACTCAAGTGGATAAAGTGGCCTGAAGAACCATTCAAGTAAAAGGCAGATAGTGAGGAGCAACTTTATAGGCAAAGAGAAAAAGAAAAAAAAAATTTAAGTTAGATCCAGCAAAATATTAAGACTGGGTCAATGACCTCAAATGTGCTGATCAGTCTCCATTCCACATCATTTACAAAAGTGCCTCGAGTGCCAGCCCATACTCAAAATTTGCTATCCCTACCTCTAAGAATTATACCATTAGCATCATTATAAACGAGTGAAAAAGCTCCTAGACATATAAAGCGAGATCAGGTTGCAGCCAGACATATCCGCTAGGTGGGTGGAAAGTAAATTTTTGGGCAGATCAAAGAAAATGAACAAGAATTTGCAAGCAGGACCCTCTGTACTGCGAAGTTTAAAAAAGAGAGAAGGCCCCCGGAATTGTATATCTTGATAGATCTCATTTACTGATGTAGAGATCATGGGATCAACCCATCCGCTTATCTAAGCTAAACAACCAGACCCATTTCTCGGATTCTCCAAAATACATAATTGTTCACCTCTTTTTCCCAGGAAGCGGTCTATTTTAGACCTTTGGTTACCATATTTAATGACGAGAAGCAAAGATGACCCTAAGAAATTGAGATAATAATGCGGAAGAGGTATATAGAACAAACCTGGATGCTTAGGCCGGGAGACTGTCGTGACTCGTGAATTCGGTGATCTATAATCAAGAGCAGTTGTGGAACATATAATTGCAGATGCTTCTTTATTTATTCCTGTGTCTTGGTGCCGAAGTGTTCCTCCGCGCGATTTGGTAAATCGGGAGTTTTCCTTGCAGGTTAGGAGTAATTTTAAAGTTAGGGTGAAAAAAACGGGTGATTACTGATAGATACTAAATTATCTGTAAAATAGACAAACGAGAATGTTTGGATTTTTTATTTAGTGGTTTTTATTATTAGCAATATGAACTATAACAACACAACTATTGACAAATGCCACTGATATTTGGAAGAAAAAAAAAATCAGAGATTGTAAGGCTTCCAACAAATTTTACGCTGTACGTAGAATAAATATTACACTTCTTATCTTTAATATAAGATCCATTTAATTAATTTGGTTAGATTAAGAAAAGTTACGTAAATTAGTTAATTATAAGAAATATGACATGTTTTTCCTAAAACACCATAATCATTTTTCATAATACCTTATCTCCCTCTTCTACTTAATTATTTTGAGGGAGTGTCCGTAGGGATAATTTAGATAAAATTGATAAATATAAGAAATATATCTTATTTAAGATCAAAACCAACTCAATAATTAGATCATATATTAAGAATATATATAGATATATAGATTTCTTATAAATTATGTTAATATGCCCTTTACGTGCGGCGCTGCGCTCTTTGTTGAATGCCACTCCTCAATTCATAAGGCACAGCTGTACTACGGTCTCGGGCAAAGTTGATTGCAAATTTTCTAAGATTCTTTCTCTTTGTTTTTTTTTTTCCCGGCCAAATTCTGTATGCTTCGTGCAAAAAAGAATTAAAAGAGAAAAAGAAACTTCATTTTCTTCTCAAAATTATTTTTTGGTAGTTCTTTTTAAAATTATTCTGATGATTTATTTTCAAACTTTGTCATTAATTTGCCCATTAGAGTTCAAAATTATTCCTTCTTTCAACTTTTTTTAAAGGCTATTTTGCTTTACTTTTGTCTCCAACTCCTTGACGCGATGGTAAAGTCGAGCGGGTGATTAGTTACCTGCTGCCAAAAGCGTCCCAAGATAGGTGGGAAAATAGTATTTTCTCATGTCCTAAATATAAGGTCATTTTTGTAATGTAATTTAAACTATAAAAATAGGGTTTATATTTAGAATTAGAGAAGTATCTAGCATTGGCAAATTTTGGTAAATTATTTGTAATTTAAATGAAAAGGATCTCTCTAAAAATATCATTTTCTTGTTTGAATTGATCAATATTCAATATTATCAAGCTCTTATATTTTTTAACTTTTTTTAATCAAAGAACGATGTAGATCCTATTCTCTTCCGAACAAATAAGTAGGAGTAAATTAATCTGTGTTGCGAAATAATCCCTGAAACTATTTTTACAATATCACTTAACACAACATAACACCGTCAATTTTTTATTTAATCCCCATTTTTATATTGTTATCAGTAATTTGGTTTTTGGGGTAGATAATTTAACTTCATTATCTATCTGTTTAGCATTTTCTTTATAAATCAGGCACATGAAAACAATGAGATGGGCCTCCCTTCCACGAAGTACTAGTTACCTCAATGATAAATTGGGTAGCCCATGAAAATATTGGGCTGGATCGGAGTTAGCCCGGCCGATTACTTCATTGAATGATCCTTTATATGCAGGCTACCCAATAAACCCTAGTTCAGGAAGCGTGCCTTGTCTTAGGTTTCTCCATTTTCATCTGCCCCCCGCCTACGTTTCCCCACTCGCGGTTACGGACCTTCTTCGCGGCTGAAAATGGTGAGGCCTCTAACACTATGCTCTTGCTGGCTATGTATGCTCTGTGCATCCATCTTGCTTCGTTTTTTCTTTTATGCTGATCTGTTTTCCCCCCTTGCTTTTCCTGCTCTGTCACGCAGCCTTTCAAAAGATATGTTGAGATCGGGAGGGTTGCTTTGGTGAACTATGGCAAGGACTACGGAAAGCTCGTTGTCATTGTCGATGTCATTGACCAGAACAGGGTATGCCTCTTCCCCCCCTCTTTTCATCTGCTACCTTTCACTTGCTATCAGATTCGGCGCGACTCGGTCGTCTATTTACGTAAAAATCTGAATCAATATGCGTATTGAAGTCTGTATTAGTTTTTAGTTTTTAGTGCTTCCAAACAACAAGTGGGATTTTATTTCGCATTAACGTGCTTTCCCAGTAATGGAATGCAGTTTTAGATTTTATGGAAAATTGAGAAATAATTGAACATGGGTTTTTACTGGTTGAATTTGGTGACCTTTAGTTTGTTTTACACCTTCAAACTTCATTGCTATCAATCAATCTGGGCGTTGCTGCTTCGGTTTATTTTTGACATCTTACTAGGAGGCTTTCACCTTCGGTTGATATCCCCGGCGATTTTTTAAAACAAAATTTAGATTCCGTTTGGCCATCAATGTATTGTCCCAGAAAAGTTATTTATACTCCGATTGATGCGTTTGGCTAAATGTGACAGTTTTTGCAACCATGGGTTATTGGTGGACTAGTATTTCAATGTATCTTGTGCAAATATCGAAGTCCATCAGAAATTCGTATTTCTTCCAGCTTCAAAAGCTGGAGCGCTCTTGTTGTATTGAAATCATTTTGGCCATTTTTTGAGGGCTCGCAGTCGAATATTTGGGATTGGATCTTTGGTGTGATTTATCTTCTTCATGTTTGTAGGCTCTGGTTGATGCACCTGACATGGTGAGGTCTCAAATGAACTTCAAGAGGCTCTCCCTCACTGACATTAAGATTGACATTAAGAGGGTTCCCAAGAAGAAGGAGCTCCTTCAAGCAATGGAAGCTGCTGGTGGGTAAACTGTTGAAACACTTGTTTGGTATTTATTCATTAAGCATATTATGTTCGGTAAATAATTTGTTTTCACTTACAGATGTCAAGAAGAAGTGGGAGAATAGTTCTTGGGGTAGAAAACTGATTGTTCAGAAGCGAAGGGCATCTCTCAATGATTTCGATAGGTTTAAGATAATGTTGACAAAGATCAAGGTGGGTTTTTCATAGTATTTTCGCCTATCTGATTGTAGTACCATCTTGTATTTTGGTAAACAAGATTCATTAATTTCCAAATATGCTGGCTAGTTGTGCCATTTGTGTTCTTTGATGTTGGAGTAGTTGATGCTAATCTATATTATTTATGTCGTGCAGAGGGCAGCTGCTGTAAAGCAAGAACTTGCTAAGCTGAAGAAGAGCGCTTCTTAGGCATTATGTTGTGAGCTTATTCAAATTTTTGCCTTGGATTTCTTTCGAACAGTACACCGTTTTTATGAGTTTTTACATCATTTGTAGACCAAAAAGTTTTATTTTGGAATATTTAATGTTAGGGTATTGTTGTTGGTTCTTAATGGTAGAATGTCCGGAGATTGCTGGTTTTTTCCCCGTTTAATATCGTTTGCATTTCAGATACTGATTTTCTTTTCGCAAGACATAATGTTGGCTAATAACTTCGTGACTTCCAAGATTTGGCATAGATATAATTGATTAATCTCGGAGTCCCCACTGTGTGGGTGTATACCGTAATCGTTGGCAAGCCAAAAAAAAAAAAGATGTATACAGTAATCAGTCATTAATTGTGGACGTTAATCATGCAAGTCTGTTCTAGCCTGGAGGTTCAGAGCTGAAGGCATTATCCAGGCATCTGGGTTATTGGAAGCGTCGTTTGCAATCAAAGTGTTTGGGAAGGATATAGAACACTACGCGACAGGATTGGGCTTTTCGTTGTGCATTCACGAAAATCAATTTTCCATTTGGCAATTAATAATGTCAATGTCGTCGTCAAGAAAATTGTCATTTGAATTTTATTTTATTTTTAAATATAAGGCTTCAATCCATTTTGTCGTATTTATATATATTTTTTTTAAATAATCTTTCTAATAATAATAGTTCTAATCAATACACTTGATTAGTAAGGATATTTTAAGAAAAACAACACCTATTTAGGATAAATAAATAACTCAACTTACTTCTTTAATCTCTTCAAATTAGTTAACTGGCTCTTATAATTAAGATCGGAAGTAGTACTTTATTTTACTAATCTCATTTACATAGGCTTGGTCAAGTAATTGTCACGTGAAGTGATCTGAAGTCACCGCAGTTGATGGGGCTATCATGATAGCTGCTACTAGAATTATGATAATTGTTACAACGCGTAAAGTGATCTGAAGCCACCGCAGTTTGATGGGGCTTCGTGGATGGGCGCTCGTGTATGAAGGCGGAAAAAAATCATTCAGACGGAGCAATTTTTTGTTCATTCAGATGGAGCAATTTTTTGCTAGAAATCAGATCAAACCAAACATGTCATCCTTCATTTCTGCTTTGAATATTTGAAACATCATCCATTGTCCAATATAAGACCACCAGTCAAGATTTCAGATAAACACAATTGATATATCAACAATGAAACATGAATATACAACACAACACAAAGATCCTACGGCAAGACTCGCGATTTGTCACTGCATCAATCTCACAATTATAAAACCTGTCATTCTATCAGGCCATCATTACCTTCTTTTCACTACTCTTGCTTCGGAACGGTGACAACAAGGAGAACGTACGCGATGCTGCATAACAATAATATTTTGCTTTACAATTTACACTCGCATTAAGAACAAGAATAGGTGACTATAATGAAGAAAGGGAGGAAGAGACAGAGTTGATGTTCATTAGCAAAATCGCGCATGAGAAGAGAGCTTACACTTTTGCGGTGTTGTGTTGGCAGCGGAAGTTTCATCTTGGGATATCAAATTCTTTAATGTGTAGGCTGAAGATAACAAGGAAACTAAAGTCAATTTAATAAAATATCAGCCATATCAAATATGGGGGACTTGTGAACCATCTGCAAACTTACACACATTCTTCAAAGAGAGAAATTTGTCAGTAGTAACAGGAAAGCATGAAAAGCCAACAGTTGATGAACAAATCAACACTTTGGATTTGGATAACCCATCAAAGATGAACTCATTATCTAATGACTAGATGAACTAGGTTGTTAAACAGTTTTCATCTACAGCAGTCTACGTTCATATTTT